ATTCAATTTATTGTAGCAAAATTAAATTGAAAAATATATATATGTATACGCTTGGCAAACGTTATAATTGCTATAGTAACTCACGCTCTTTCAATAATCAGAAAACACGCTATTTATAATGTTCAATCGATTTTTTCTTAATATATCTTGCAGTTACAATAGATACATAATAATCACTTAAAATAATACTGCATCATATTTAAAATATAAATTAAACTGTTCAGTCGAAAAAAAAAGTAGATCAAGCGAGGCTCGAACCCGCGAAAGCAAAAACAAAGTAGGCGAGTGCGCGCCTTAACCACCTCGGCTACCAGCACACTGAAAATATATAGTATGGAAGTTACATATGTTCTGTAACGGGGTTGATACCGTTTAATTATTTTTATTCGCGCGGATTCATTAGAAGGCGAATGTAATCATCAATGCTCAATACGCAATCCGGAGAGCATGGGGAAACAAGCGTCAGTCAACCAGTAAATCTACTAACCTACAAGAAAGTGAGTGGAAACAATATGAAATAATACAGTCGAGAGTATTCGTTAATGACTCGAACAGAACCTTTTATTATCTATTATATGCTATATCAGATCGGCCCGCGTGTTTGTTTACTTCGACGCTCACACGACGACAACATGCATTGTCGGATCGCTCGCTGCTCTTCGTTAGAAGAGCTAATACATGCACGCTTGAGATGTCGGAAAATTAATTGTTATTCGGGCTATTGTATCGCGACCGCGAATATAAGCTGGCCAGCTTACCTTTATATCACAGGCGTATGAAGCGGACGATGGAGAATCGAACTGCGCGGAAACTGTTTCTCTCTTTTTTTTTTAGTCTGTGCCGCGGGTCGCGAATTCACGCGCACGCGGTTTCGCCCTCGATGGCGAAACCTCACACACCTCTGTTGGCCCCGTGGAGGACGACGCTTCTTCCTCGCCTCAAACTCCTCCTTTTGGCAGCTATCTGGCACCTTGGCAACAGTGATTATTGATGGCACTCTCTGGGCGTTCCTCTCCTATCTCTTTTAGCGTAACGGCACGGGGATCGGTATTAGCGTGGAAGATAAGCGGGCGATCGTGATGGCGATCATAGCTTCACTGGTTCGATTTCAATCGCGCGCGTTCCGTCTGCTCGCGCTCCGAATTCCATCGTTACGTTTTTCGTCTCCCCGGTAGGTGCTGCCCTCGCAGGCAGCAATTAGGATATATTATTAGCGCTAATTTGACGTTTACCGTCACAGTTCATAGAAAAGCACGGGAGCTTGGGAATCAGGATTTGAGCTTGGAACTGGAGTAATTGGGCTTAGGATATAATTATCTGCAACATTTTTCCGCGACAAACCTGTAAAACGCACAAAGATAAGCATTGTATTGATAGTATAGTACGATACGCGCGGCAGACCGCCAAGCTAGCCAAAGTCAAAATAGCTTTCAAGCAAGCAGGGACACACTCGCTACCGTTGTACTCCTCTCTCTCTCTCTCTCTCTCTCTCTCTCGACCCGAAGCTTGCCAGACGCACACGCATTACTTTCCCCTCTTCTCCTTCTCGCCGACGCACGGTCTCTTGCCCCCTCCATGGCTCAACTCAAACTGTGCATCAGGTTCAACCGTTTGACCGCGACGGGGCGCTCGAACCAGTGGCTTCGGCCGGACACGCTCTTATACATTGCCGTCAGCAATCTCTCATATTATCTCTGATCTAAAGCGTTAATTCTCTACAGAATAACAACATTGTTATAATTTATTGATTTTAATTAACCAATTTTATATTTACATTATAAGATTTTGCAAAAAACGAAAATTAATTATTATTCAAATATTATTAACCAATATAAGTAGTTCTTTTTTGGAATTATATCTATAAGCGATAAACTATTTTTATATGTAAAAAATTCTTATTATTTTATTGTAAATTTTGTACTATTCTATTAACTAACTTCATTAGTTAATAACTTTTAACTACGATTTTTGCGATAAGTGTAAGTTATGTTTAAATTATTTATATCACCTTCGATACTTTAACACGATCCAAATTTTCTTTAGCGTGTCTATTTTATTGTAAACAATAGAAAATGATTTTGGACACTTGCGTAAATAGCATGAAGAGAACTATCTTGCGAAAATGGGCGAGAAAATTTGTGTATAAATACGCTGAATTTTGCATATGCTGGTATTCTCTTCTAGCCTTGCAAAGTGAACGCTCGAGATTGAATAAACTTGTCTTATACCTAAGTTGTTTCTCTCTAATGATTATATTTCAAATCATTACATATATATATTGTAACGGGGTGGTTATCCTACAAAATGAGAAATTTATCAACGCCGAAACTCCCACGATGCACGCCTCCGTTAAACACGTATAGTTATACGTGTATTCGCTTTTACGTTAGATACTTTCGTTTCAGTATCTTCTTTTCAACCGAGTTGAACTCACCTTGAGTCACTTGACTTGTGACACTCGATCTATCTTCAGGATAAATGACTCAATGCTTAATCCGCCTAATCACCTAGACGAAATCAGATTAAAACTTAAGCCTTTAAGTATTAGGATTAAGCTATTAACTATTAGGAAACGAAATGACGTAAATGGCGAATAAAATTAACGATGTTTAATTAATAAAAACTACAGTCTTTTATGGGCCGAAAGACTAACGCACACGAATAGGATTTACAATTATTGATAATTATCCATTGAGAGAGAGAGAGAGAGGGAATTCGAAAATTGCCGCGAAATCTAACGCTCGCCGCGAATACAAATAATTACGCTCGCGATAGACAAAATACTTTCGAAAGTATTTTGTCGTGCAATAATAGGGAGGTGCACCTACCTTGCGGTGCAATTACGGTGATCAGTCGTAATTGTTGAAAAAAACCAACAGTGGTCCTTGGATCCATCAGCTGCGATGCCTCGATTACAAATACGTATCTGTTGCTGCTTGCTGCTGTTGTAATGCTGTTGCTTGCTGGTGCTGTAATGCTGCTGCTGTTTAGCTTCCTCGTTGCACTCGCACGGATTAATAAATCCCAGGAAAACTTTTTACAATTAACGGCGGAACACAGTACAAAAACTAAATTGGCGGTACTCTCACGAAAGCAGCTGAGGCTTAACTGAATATTTAAACCCTCGCGCGCCCCCTCTCTCTCTCTTAGTCGTTCGAACTAACATCGCGAGGGTAGCGAATCACAAATGGGTCGATTAACCGAATATATATATATATATATATATAATATTTTCATTTATGTATAATTTTCAAAGTCAATACTTTAAAACTCAAACGAATTCTTACTTATTTTAGTCGTTAACGCGACAACGACGAGAGTACGAACTATATAAAATAATAGGTGATAATTAACGTTACACATTATTCTGCTATTCATCGTGTTTTGATGAGTACCGGCGCCGCTATTATTAATATTGCGCGTTGCTCAGAAGGTCAAATATTTCTTATCTCTCACAATAAAAACTACTCAAGATGCGCATCGCTTTAGTGACGACTCCAAAAGTGTCATTCTGACTTTTAAATTTCGAAAATTCATTATAAAACCGCTATATCGTTTTCCATACTCATTGGCACAATTAGATAAACGTTTTTGTTATGAAAATACGGAGATAACTATGTTTCCGGTTTTAACGATACAGATGTTATATTAAACGGCTGAGATTAGGGTTTTTAAAGTATTCTCGAAACTTAGAACTGTCTTCATTAATTTTGAGATACTTAAGCGCATCAGTAACCGATTGCTTGATCCGATATCGCATAGTGCATTAAATAATAAAATTAATCGGACAAATACGATGGATGACTATCGTAGCGTCATAAAGCGAAGAGAATTTTACTGAATTATTTGCTATTAAAAGCCCATCCTTGTTTCATTATCAAAATGTAAAATATCTTTCATAAAAGTATAGTTAACCTGAACACAGTTCGTCACAGATTCTAAATCCTTTCCTTTCGACGGACAGGAGTCATTTTGCTCGTATGAAATTCGAGGCGTTGATAAGCGATGATTTATTTCTTTGAAAGTATAATTACTTGAAATTGTTTCTCTCTTAACTGTATTTACGATAGATGAACAATGGATATAGACCACCAGGTAGAAAATTTTTTTAGAAACGATAGATATTTTTCGAATCACAAGAGCATAGTTCGAGATATACCATTTTATTTTATAACTCAGATTTTGAAAAATTTACGTTATATGGAATACCATCTCTCGATATATTTTATATAGCATCCATCGCTGAATAAATAATTAAAAATTTGAACCTTTTATTAAATATCTATTTTACTATCTTAAATTCTAAACGAAGTTTACATTTACAAATAATATATAAAGTCACAAACAGAATATAAAGAAGCGAGCAAAGTAAGTGTTGCTATTCAACGTGTCACCTTGCCGGAAAGCTTATTTGGAAAATGTCATTATAAACGGTATTTTCTATAAATTTTCGACATAACCTAATTTTATTTTATGATGATTTTAATCACTTTAATTAGATGCGAATTGCTTTCAAAATGTTTCGATCATTTTTTTTTTGAGTTGCCACAATGGAAATTTATTGAAGATTCTACAAGAATTTTGTATCTTTCTTTCTATTCAGTTCAGTGTCCATGGTTCCAGTATTTCTAGAGAAATTGAAATCTTAATGAGATGAAGAATTACTTAGACATAATAAAAATCAACCTATTATCAAAGATTTATTTATTAGGTTGCACTTCCGATTGTATTGGGCTAACATTTCATTCGCTGTTATTTAGTTCTGTAATAGCAATACAACAAGTAAGATACTCATCAACTTGGAAAAGGTCTACATCAAGGTAATGTTATAGAAACATAGTACCATCAATAAAGAAATAATTGTTATACATCAAAAGCTGAAATATTGCTGAAAGCATCAGCATTACCACAATCAGTTGTATAAAATCGTCGATCAATCACAAAATTAAGCTTGCAAAAACGTAGGCAAATTGAGCGGTTTGGTACATTTGTTTACTTACCGATATTGTTCATAAGTGAAATAGTTCTTCAATAGACTTCCGACTAGACCGTTATCATTCTGAAAAAGTCTATAAAAATACGCGTACTGTCGAACTATACTTCTGCAATGTTTCAACGATTTTTCTGAAAAAAGTACAATATTTTTATGTAAGATAATAAAATATAAAATTAATTGTATATGAATATAAAATATTAGAGAAAGAGTATAACCGTATTTTCATATTCATTTGGACCATAGGCCATTTCATTTAATTAACTATGGAGTTAAATTTAGTATGAAAAGCGAAGCCTCTGTAGAAATTTTCATCTCAAAAGATGCATAAGGAGAGACTCGATCATCAAAAACTTACTTTTCGGCACTATTTTTACATTTTGGTGTCTAGCTCAGTTAGAAATCAATAACATGTGATATTATTTTCTTAGCTTTTTGATGGGAAAAATTGCTTTTCTAGCGATTTTTCCTTCGTCCGTTGTCTATCAGTACCTGCGTGCGTGCCCTCATCAGACTGGACGTATATGTGTGCGTGAGCGTACTGCTTATGCCCGGATTGTTTGTTTAAGGTACTAATTGACAGACTCGGGTACGAGGAGTAGTGCAGCTTTTGGCAGGTATAATCTAAGATGGGGATGTAATCTTTATAATCTACAAATTACCACATCGTAAAATTTTTCATTGCCGATATCAAAAATAGATGTTTTCGTTTGAAAAAAATTAGTCATTTATGTCTTTTACTAAACCTGCGAAATTTCCAGATGTTTCCCTAACAACAAATGTTTGACATTTATTTGACCTCTAGGGTTGTCCTTGACCTTGGACCTCAATACTCATTTAAACGTAAAATTTTCCGCTCTTTCAATTACCGCTATGAAAAAGAGGGGTTTCCATATCAAAAAAGTTGACCTTGAAATAACCTTGAAGGTCAGGTTCAAGGTTAAATCCAAGGTCACCATTAAATTCTTTGCAAAAATTTACGAAAGACCTGACCCTAACCTTTTTCAAAAATACCTTACCTGGAAAAATAGAGGACCGTCTCGGTACTTTTGTTACACCCTATATATAATTTTCAACTATATATATATGTATATATATATATATAGTTGAAAAGTATAAATAAATTATCTTTAGTTTATAATTAATCATATCATTCATTTATAAAGCCATAACCATTTGTTACACGAACATTAAAACATCATAATATGGGTAAATTCGACATATGAAATATCCATAAAAAACTTTAAATTAGTAAAAAAAACGGCTGAATCCTAGATTTTTATTTCACTTGGAATAATTCAGTCTGTTTGTAGCGCTCACCCTTTAAAGACGTACGATCGCACAGAGAGAGCAAAATAACTAAAACCTATACAGAAAATAAAAATTTAATTTTAATATTGTAAATATAAATAATGTTCATTTAAACTGAGTATCACAAGAACAATAAACAACAACGAATTAATTAACAGACAAGATATAAAAACAGCCATCATGGCTGTAACACAATAACAATACCTCCCTCAACACAACATTAATAACAACAAAGAATCACCCAGAGATGAAACAATTGAATGGAAAATCGAAGGCAACTCCTGAATTAAAAATAACATCTAATCTCAACTTACTGATCTCAAAATAAGCTTTAGAAAAACTCAAAGAAAAAAGAAGACTTAGAAGAATATGGCAAGAGAGCAGACTGAAACAAGATAAACAAATTACAATAGATCAATGAAAGAATCAAAAGAAATTTTATACACGGAAAAAAATGAGTGAATACAAAACTATTTAGAAAATTTATCAGCTAAAGAGGCAACAGTCTATTTGCTTTGAAAGACCACTAAAAGAAAAAAACGATCCCAACAATTTACTCCTCCGATATTAAAAAATCAATTAAAGCAACTATTTTCGCAGAACACTTAGAAAATACTTTCACATCTTACGAATGAATTATTTCCAAAATTGATGAACTTTCTACGTTAAATAGTGTACAAACTGTCATCAACAACAGCTTCAAACCATATTGTACTAAAGTTAAAAAAATATCTGATATAATAGCAAATCTAAAAAACCAAAAAAGCCCAGGGCATGACGGTATAAATACTAAGTTACTAAAAGAGTTACCCTTACAAGCAAAAAGATACATCACTATAATAATAAATGCGATCTTCAGACTGTCCTACCTTCCTACTAAATGGAAAATCGCGACAATCATTCTTATTGCAAAACTTGGTAAATTGCCTGAATTTACTTCATTCTATAAACCGATAAGCTTACTTCCTACTCTTTTGAAAGTGTGTGAAAAAATACTTGCAGTTAAATTAAATAAAGAACTGTTGAAACAAAATACTACACCTAAACATCAATTTGGATTTCATAATAAATATGCCACTATTCAAAAAATAAATAGAATCTGCTGAAAATAGGAAAACCTTTGAAAGAAATGAATATCGAGAAACGTCTTCCTAGATATAACTCAAACCTTCAATAAAGTATGGCACAAAGGGCTACTTTACAAACTCTAAAATATCTTTCCAGAAAAATTACATCAACATTTAGCCTCTTACCACAAATATAAAATATTCAAAGTTAAAATAAACAGTGTATTAACAAAACTTTATACAATTACAGCCGGGGTTCCGCAAGGTACTGTCCTATGCCCTTTATTATACTTGATATACACACATGACCTCCGCAAAATGAAAAGAATTACAATAACCACATATCTGGATGACACAGCCATCTTTACCTCTCATCGCCAGTCCAGGCTACCGTATACCTAGATACCGTATACCAGAGATACATGAAAATAGCAGAAAGATGGTACAATGAATAGAGAATAATGATAAATAAAGATAAATGTATTTAAGTAACTTATACCTTAAAGTAAGGTTCATGCTCTGCAATCAGTATGAACAATTAACCTGTAACGTCGGCCCCTTTAATATCAGCGAAAATGTTTTTTTGTGTGCATTTAATGTGATTTAGATTTTAATTCTGGGAATGAGAATAAGGAGAGCATTCAGCTGAGATAAAAAAAAGGGAAAAGAGATGGTCCTTTGTCGCACGCTTTCCGAATTTTACTTCAAAAAATCGTAAAGTTTTTTTTGAGTAGGTTTAGATATAGAGTAAAGGAGCCGCGGAATTCTAACTACATCCTGTTACACGATTTCTCCCAAAAGATTCCACTTTTAGAAGCTACAAATTTATCATATGAAAGAAAATTCGACAAAAAATTTTAAATAAATGAATTAAGAAAATAACAGAATGATAGGAAAAATTCGCAGCTCTCTGAAACCTCCCGCACATTTTTTGATCAAAGACGTAATTTCAGCACAATTAACGAAAATATCCAAAAGTTTTTAAACTATTTTTCCTAAATAAGTTAGAAAATTTAATAAATATTCAAAAGACAATTACATAAATGAATAATATTATATTATTCCATTATACGACACAAATTAAAATCATATTTGTAGAAAACAAAATTGATTTCAATAAATAAAATAATAAAAATAATATTTTAACCTTTTAAATTTCCTTTTGTATTCAAGTTTTAAAAATTAATTGTGCAGAAATTAAATAAATCAAAGGGCCAACAAAACTCGAAAAAACAATGTCCGAACAATAAATTAATTACATAATTCACAATCGATAATATATTAAGTTTCATGTAAACGACTTTAGTACAACCCATAAATAATGCGCAATTTCTTCCTCCTCATTCCAGATTATTTAAACAACAAATTTAGTTAATTATTTAAGTTACAAATTATAAACACGTAGAATCAAAGATTTTCGAATAAAATATGTTCAGATAGTATGTAAGCCGCGCTATTGTTAAGAATGATCCACGAAAATTTATGTAATAATATAATTAATAATTATACGATAAAATTGTAACGAAAATGGTACTTGGAGAGCCATCTAACGAGATAGGGCTCATACCCTTGAGCGCACGCCCCCAATTTCTACCACGCTCCCAAACCAATTAGGACCCGAAAGCCAAAAGGGAAAAGTGGAAAAATATGTCAGCCAATTAAAAACTACTGCCATTTCCACTCTTCCCACTTATGAGAGGCTGAGAGAGGAATTTTCCTCCCAACCACCCCTAGGCTTTAAAAGGGCGAGCACAAGCGAAAAAGGCCAATCTAGTTCAATCTGGTGCCAGCTCCAGTTCCAATTCAAGTAATGTAACTAGTTAGGAATCCAACTCTCCAAGTGCCGAAAGCTACTTCAAATAAAAAAAAAGAGTCAGTTAAAACAAAATTTTTGCTATCCTTCCTCTTCCTCTTACTGCTAACTTAGCTAAATGAAAACTCAAAAGATTTAAGTCTTCGAGAAACATTTCAGCAGGATCTGGGATATTTCTCTATAAGACAACCGCGCCATTTAAGAATCAATTAAATTAATTTTTGTTAAGGTATGAGTGTATGTATGCGTCTCTCCTTGACTGTATGTATGTGTGTGTGCAGCGTCGCCTTTACGCGAGAGCACGGAGCGCGCTGTCTGTACGAGCTGACGCCTTATAAGAGCCGGACGTGTGTTAAGAGCTGATAATAAATCCTTTGTTAAAAGATATTCATTTACTCTGCTCATTTCACCTGCCCTATAACCCAACAGGTTATGGGCCCAGAGCACGCCTCCACCGCGCGATAAGAACTGTGAAAGGTGTGTGAAAAGTGAAAAGTGAGTGAAAACGAACACGAGTGCGATTTGCACGACGAACTGCATTGGCCCTTTGTTTTGAAAAGAAAACGACCAAGATGGCTGAGGTTCAAAAGGAGGTTCAAAAGTCGATCAAAGATTTGAGTAAGTAATAGAATGTAATTTGTTTAATTAATAAATTGAGAGAATGCATGAAAGAATGAAAAGTGGTTTAGAATCGTAAAAGTGCGCGAAAATAAAAGAATTTATAATCGTAGATTCGCGAATTGCTAGAACGAGGGAAATCGCGACATGTGACAAAGGCTTTCTGTCAAACAGGCAACGACCTGTTGATTTTTGGAATCAACGGTCGTTGGCCAAGATGGCGGAAAGCCAGTGCCGGCAGCTCGTGAGCCATGCACGAGGTAGCATGCCAACGCTGACCCGCCAAAAGGAGAAAGAACTGCGCGCGCATCCAGCCGAACGT